ATTATAGCAGGGGTAGGGGAAAGTGGAGTTTGTAAAGGGAATATCAAATATATAGTAACTGATGGAATCTGGACTTTGGGTGGTAATCACACACAATAGAATATACAGATGTCAAATTATAATGTGCACCTGAAAATTATATAATTGTATTAACCAATGTTACCCCAATAAACTTAATTGTAGCCATTCATAAGGTATTCGTTAGTACTCACCGATATGCTGATTTGGTATCTTAACATTGTTATCTGTTAGAATGAGCTTTACGGAAATAATAGAAATAGCTAATATTTACTGAATGCTAGGTATATGCCAGCATGTTTCTAAATACTTTATATTTATTAACTAATTTCTTAAAACACTTCTTTAAGGTAGTTTCTATCATTATCACCATTTTACAGAAGAGAAACTGAGGCACAGTGTGGTTAGTAATGCGCACAATGCCAAGCAGCTAGTAAGTGGGGGACCGGTAGAGTGTGAAGAAATGGCATTCATTGGAGAGGTCTTCTCCTTCTATCTTCGCTTTCTCGATCAAATTTACCTTGTGTGTTCCTTGACCAAAATGCAACAATTTTACATATGGAAGACTCAGCCACTGGCTAATAAGGTACAGAATCATGATTCCTATCACAGGATTTGTATGTGGAACTTTGTCACAGTTGTAATTCAAGATTGGGAAACCATGTACATGCACACACATACACACATGATTTTTCAAGGACAAACAAACCCAAACTTTGCATCATGTCAAACCTGAAAACGTATGTGGCAGAGTTGAGAATCTTCCAAAAATATCCAATACTAGAAGTTATTGAGTATGATCGAAATAGAAGAATATATAAAAAGACTTGTCCATTAATGGCTTTTGCTACAATTAGCTTATTTTCTTCTGTTATCTGTTAGTTTAAATCCTATACTTACACAATGCCTGATACATGGTATACATTGAATAAATATTAGCTTCCTACCTTCCAGAAGAAGCCATGTTGGTGCTATAAAAATCAGTGATAAAGATTAACAGAAGTTTCTTAGAAAACACAATACTATCCAGTTTAGAATACACCATTGGAGCAGTTTGTGAAAATGACTTTGTACTGAGGGAATTTTCATTTGCAGTATTATGGAAACAAATAAAAGAAAACCAAATATACTTTGTGAGAAAATGTTTCATTTTTAAAGGCACAATGAAACTGTTGAAAACTAGGGAACAGGCACGAGGCTATCAGTAATGAGACAGGGGAGAGCGTTTCAGCATTGTTTTCATTTTGCAAAATCATCTATCACAGAAAAGTAGTTTAAATTGTCTGTCTCGTTTCCAATTTTTCCAAAATATATTCAGACAAAATCGCCTGAATTGGCTATTTTGTTTTTCGATTTTGTTCCAGATTTATTTCTGATTATAGCCTTTTTTGAATTTAGATGCTCCCTCTTTGGGGGAATGAATAACATTATGCTTAATCTTCTCTCACCTATCCAAAATGAAGACAAAAAACTTCCAAAGTGATAAATTATTTTTCTCATGGAGCCCTTCTCATTTTCTTTCAGGCTGTTCTGAGCCTCTAGGGATGAAATCAGGACATATACAAGACTATCAGATCACTGCCTCCAGTATTTTCAGAACTCTCAATATGGACATGTTCACTTGGGAGCCGAGGAAAGCTCGGCTGGACAAGCAGGGCAAAGTGAATGCCTGGACCTCCGGCCACAATGACCAGTCACAATGGTTACAGGTAATATTTTCAAAAGCTGTTTCACCACCCACTGCACTCTTCCTTAGAAGACTTCCTTTTGGTTAAGTGAATGTTGGTATCATTACCTTCATAATAATTTAAATGTACCTCCCTCTTTGGTTTAACTATATTGGTAAAACAGAAATTCGTTATGAAACCATGCCTGTGTGCTATTTTTACTCTGATCTTGATTTGTAGATGCTACTGTCAGACTGATGCAGCAGACTGTACCAGATCACACTATGTATAGGTCAAATTGATTGATTATGAGAACATTTTGCATTTTAACTCTCATCTATTCTGATGCGTCTAGTCAATATTCGTTTGAAAGCATCACAGCAGGAA